TTCAAGCCTTTTGTACACTTTCTCTCTCTAAAACAGTGCATACTAAGCCCCTCAAGAAAAACCCAATTGCAACCCAATCTCTCTATCTATTTCTCACTCTTTCTCTCTCTAAACAAAAGGTTTTAATCCCTTTAAAAGAGTAAAGTTCCTACAACACCACAACCATTGGATTAGATGCAATCCAATGGCCCAAAATGAAAGAGAGAAAAGTTAAATAAAACTCCCTCATGTGTGATTTTTTTTGACACATATAATAAAAAAAACCATTGTCTTCGAAATCCTCATTTAGATTCAAAAAAACCTTAGTAAACAAACAAAACTAGCATAGATTCGAAGAAATGCTTTAGAAAATTCAAACAATTAATCAATTATGAAATAAAAATTATAGTTCCTAATTTGATCTAATTTAATATCAAATTAAATGTTGGGTGAAAACTGAAATATTTGGGGAACAAAAAAGTACTCAAATAAAAGACAAATCATCTGGTAATATTTGTTTTTTGGAATTTCCTTAATTCCTATGGGACTCTAGAAGTTAGATGAATAAGAAAAATAACAAATTCATAATACGATAATGCCCATTTTCCAGTTTTTTTATCTATTCAAATACTGGCTTGTGAATTTCCCTCACATAGAAAAAGCTAAATTTGTTGTAAATCTACTTTTCATACAATAAAAACACGTATATTCCAAATATTGTATCTTCTATCAAAATCCTCCTTTTACAATACTAAAGGTTCCATAAGTAGGATAAATTAGTTGGTAAGGACATACAAACTATATTGAATAAACATAATTGTCTTTCAAATCCCTCATTTAGAATACAAAACCCTAAAGAAACAAACTAAACCAACATACATTCAAGGACTTGATTTAAAAAAAAACCCAACAATTATTCAAGTAGGAAACAAAAAATTACAGATCCTAATGTGGTCTTAATTTTAATTTAATATTAAAATTTGGCGATGCCTCAAGTTGATGTAGGAGCCAATTTCGGATAGAAGCAACGGTAAGCAAGCAGCGTATAGTAACAGTCTTTGCAAAGGGGGCAAATGTCTCATGATAGTTCAAGCCTTCTCGCTGGGTGTAGCCCTTGGCGACGAGACTTGCTTTATAGAGCTCAACAGTTCCATCTGACTGATATTTAACTTTGTAGACCCATTTGCAACTAACAGCCTTTTTGTCAGGACGCAAGGTGGTGTTTGTCGAGGTTCTATTTTGCTCAAGTGCTCGGAACTCATTTTGCATTGTTGCCTACCATTTCGGGCCTTGCACAGCCTGGGAAAAAGAAGTGATTTCTGGAATAGAAGAGGTAGCGAAAACAAAACTCTGGTGTGATAGAGATAAATGCTAATAAGAGAGAAAATGAGAAACTGGATATCTAGTACATTTTGAGGATCCAGTAACAAGAGTTGATGTTGGAGGAGTTAGCATGATGGCATGAGAACAATGGAAATCCTTAAGATAAGATGGTGGGCGACGAGATCGTTGTGATTTGTTAATATTTGTGGGAGGAGATAGAGAAGGGGTTGGCTGAATCGATTGCTCTTAATCTTCTTGAGGTGGAGTGGAAACCTCATCAATTGGATCCAAGGAATCAGCAGAAGTAGTTTGTAGTGGTTCTTGAACAGTTTGTGGGGAAGCTAAAGTTCTAGATGGATGAGGTAGGGAAGATGAAGGAGTGCTGTTTGGGTTAGTTGAAAGAGGGATAATTTGAGGTTTGTGGAAGATCAAGCATGGATACAGGTAGAACAGCTACTGGTTGTGTGGTCGAATGTGGTGTAGAAGAAAGAAGAAAGATGTTCTCATGAAAGACAACGTCACGACTGGTATAAAATTTTTTATTTTACAAATAAAAAATATGATTTCTTTTTTGGCCACGAGGATAACCAATAAACACACATTTTCAGGTGCAAGCATCAAACTTGTCTCGATTAGAGGCTAGAGTGGTGGTATAGCGAAGACATCCAAAAATCCGTAAATAAGTGTAGGTTGGAGTTTTGTTGAAAAGAACCTCATAAGGTGATTTGTTAGATAATAAGGATGTGACAATGCTCATTATATGTGACAGTAAGAATGAATTCTCCCCAAAAACTGAGAAGTAGATGTCTCTGGAAACGCAAGGCTCGTGACATTTTAAGAATTTGACGATGTTTGGATTCAGCAACACTGTTTTGTTGTGGATTGGGGACACAAATGTGTTCTTGAAGTACTTCATTTTCTTGAAAAAATTGGTGCATGTTGGTGGAGAAAAATTTAGAACCATCGTCAGTTCGAATTTGTTTAATTTTGTGCTGGAATTGGGTATTTACAAGGGCCTAAAAATATTTTAGCAAAGATTGTGTTTCAGATTTTATGCGCGTGAGGAATGTCTAGGTACATCGTGAATAGTAATCAACGATTATAAGAAAATATCGAGCTCCACAGTGAGAAGGTGTGGAGTAGCCACCCCAAATATCACAATGTGTAAGATCAAATGGTGCATGTGATGAATAAAACTGGAAGTAAAAGGCAAACGAGTTTGTTTAGGTAAAGGACAAATGTCACAATGACGTCAATTAAGACTAGAAATACCATCAACATTCTTTGCTAAAGACTTTAAACAAGTAAAAGAAATATGGCCAAGGCACCAGTGCCAATGGTAAAAAATTGGTGAATTTGAAGATAGGGCCATGGAGGAACCATTAGGAGCATGGAAGTAATAAAGACCACCATGTTACTTAGCTATTCCAATCGTTGTCTTTTGAGACTAGTCATGAACGTGTAAGAATCATGAGAGAATATTACTAAGCAGTCATAAGAGCAATGAGTTTACTGATGGATAATAAATTAAAACCAAAACAAGGGACACAGAGAACTTGATGAAGTTGAATAGGAGTTAGATAAACATAATCAATATGAGTAACTGTGGCATAGGAACCATTTTGAAGTTTAACAGGTGCAGCAGTAGATGTTGGTTTGCATGTGTGAAAAAATGAGGGGTCAAATATCATATGATCTGGTTCCTGTGTCAACTATCCAGGTGTTGGGAGAGACGGAAAATTGAGTTGAAAAGGAGTTACCTGCGAAATCAAGAACAGAATAAGCATGACTGACATTTGGAAGAGGATCCCTAAGAAGGATTTGCCCTCTAATGTGGTTATATGATTCATGAAGGCCCATCAGAAATTGGGTCAATCTCTCTTGTTGTTGGTAATCATGTAAAGCATTAGACGATCCACAAGAACAAGGTGGAGTAGTGAGATATGATGTAAGTCCATCCCAAAGTAACTTGAGTTTGGTATAGTATGCGAAAATAGTGGTGGATTCTTGAGAATTAAGGGCAATGTTCTTGCGAAGCTGGAAGATTCGAGGAGCATTGCTTTCAGAAAATAGATCTTAGATCTTTCAGATCATCCTAGATTCCTCTGTCAATAGTCTCATACATCACACTCTCAGAAATATCTTTCAAGACAACATTTTGCAACCATGACTTAACCATATCATTACATCTCTTCCAGAGTGGGTAGTTCGAAGAGGAAGAGATAGGAATAATCATGGTTCCATCCACGAAACAGAACTTGTTCTTAGCACTCAAGGCTATGAGGATAGCTCTGCTCCATGTTTGATAGTTCCACGGGTTAAGACATGGGAAACTAAGACGCTTCCTAGATTATCAGGATGGTGCAAATAAAAGGCACTATTGGAATCAATAGGAAACACCATATCATTGCCAGTGTTATCAGATAAGATATTTGAAGTGGTGGAGTTGTTTTCTTATGTGGTCATAGCTGATGAATTTTCACAAGCTGAGTACATAAAAAAAAAAACAAGTTGGTGGTAAATGCAACAGCAACGAACAAAGTTATGTCAATACGAGACTCTAGTGATCAAATTTTGAATGAACTGCATCAATGATGGATTGGTGCAAGAAGATCTTCATTCAACCAAGGAGTTTTGCCAATGAAAATGCCCGCAATTTAGAAGACAACCACGAATGGAGAGAAATACAGCAGCGTGACAATCAAGATTGATGAAAATGCATCAACAATAGGCTCTGAGCAAGAGGCCGGAGGGTCTCCATTAATGAAGGTTGGCTGCAACTAAGAAGGCAACCTGGTAAATGTATGTAAAAGAGCATCAGAATGGGACTGTGAGTCAAGGGGCAGCAGCTCTCTCTCTTTCTTCAATGAGTCTCACATCAGATGGCAACATACAAGTGAAGCAACAATGCAAAATCAGCAAGGAAGAAAACAACAAAGAATCAAATGGCAGCTGGTTGGAATGTTTGAAAGAAAACGAAGAGCTTAGAAAAACTGTAGCTCGGATACCATGTTAATTTGGGAAAATCGTCTCTTTTATTATCCCAACAGGGCGATATATACATGAATACAATATCATAATCCCTTGATATTTAGGGATTGTACAACAATTATTACCAGATATGATTTATACATGTATTTACAATGAGGAAACTTCTAAAATAACAATCATGAGTTGAAAAATTAGCTAACACCCAAGAAATAAAAGTATAATGCCCATTTTTAATTTTTGGTGAAAATTCAAGGAGGAAAATTGGTTTTCGAATATGGAACAGGGTTAGGGTTTGACAAAAGATGAAATATTGGAATACAAAGCCATAGAGAGAATGATCTGAAAATTTTCATCACTAAGCTTGCATCTAAAAAGTATATGCTGAAAAAAAAAAAAAAAAAACTCAATCTCAAGGGCGTGTTTGATAACAGGAAATGTCTTCTAGGAACTTGGAAACTTCACTTTACTGTTATGTTTGGGGTTTGATAAAAAAAATGGCAGTTGAATGAAGAACTTCACGTTCCTGTTCATTTTTGATCTTTGATAAAAAATGGAAGTTGAATGAAGAACTTTACTATTCATGTCCCCTTTACTGTTCACTTTATGTGTTAAAAAAACATCCGACCAAACGGTCGGAACTTGAAGTGGGAAGTTTTTATAAAACATTACCCACGAAAGTTTCGCCTGAGCCTCTCTTTGCAGCTGGCCGCCATCAACCAGAGCCCTCTCGCTGGCCATCCCTCCTCTATTATTCGCTGCACTCAGCCTTCTCTTCTTACGTCCTCGTCAACTTCCCAGCATCCCACTTCACAGATCCTCCTCGCCTGTTTCACCAAGTACCTCTCTCCTCTCTTTCTGTCTCTTTTCATTTCTAGAAAATGGCTTTCTTTCTCATCTCTCTCTGCAAAACTACTTTATTCTCTCTCTGTATCTCTCTCCATCTAGCTGTGTAGCCCTAAATCTCTTTGTCTCTTTATTACCAACCTCCCATCCGTCATTGACATCACAGCTCTAGGTATGGTTCTTTTTTTTTTTTTTTGTTTCTGTAAACCTATTTCTCTTGCTAGGGTTTTGTTGGTTCTTAAATATCTGTATTTTTTCCCCTGATTTTCGGGATATGTTTATTAATGGATGTGTTTTTTCCAATTTATGTGATTTTGGGCTGGTTTTGGAGAAGTCATGAGATTTGTGGCATTTTAGTTAATAGTTTTTTGAGGATTTTCTGTTATTATAGCTTTATAAGTGCCTTTATGACATTCTTCTTGGAGATTTCTTGTCTGATGATTTGTGATATCTGTGATGTCTTCCTCATCGAAGAACACAGTGCTGTGTTGGATTTATCTGTGTGCTTAGTAATTTATCGCTCTATTCTTGTGGAGTGAAGAGTGGGGTTGCATTATCTCAATATAGTTATTGCAAGAGAGGGATTTGGGTTTGCTTGGTTTTAACACTTCAATTTGACATAAAATGCTGATATTTGCAACTAAACGATAAAACTTCGCATGTATCACATAACTATGTTTCTGTGATTATAGCTACCCAATTCATAAATCTCTTGTTAAAGTCTGTAAATGCTGATTTTAGAATGTGAAATAGCATTCATCTTTCGAACTCTGTGGCATAAAATGTAATTTTACATAATTATGATTAATAGTAAAACAAAATAGTAATTATATGGGAGTAATTATATAATGGTTATATAATTTTTAATGGGTAGCATTTTACGCAGCAGTGACCTGTAACTTGTTTTGATAAGCTAATGGACTCTCCATGGCACTGACTGTTGTGCCACTGAATGGATTTTAAAATATCACTTTTGATAGTCTGGGACTCAAAGTATTTCGTATAAAAGTGTGACTCAAACCAATAAAACTTGGCTTGATGATTTTGGCTTAGCATCAGAAATGATGCCTCCAAATCTTGCTGGTCTAGGGCTCCTTGGAGCGTCCATCAAAATTGATCTTTAGCACACTTTAGGGAAGGGGAATCCTATTAACTATTCATTTGAGCTCTTGGGGATTCTTTTTTTCCTTTTTTGGATTAGTAGCTCATTTTGGGATGTAGCTTTATCATGTCTCTATATGACCACTGCATTTCGTATCCCTTAATTACATTTGGCATGTTGACGAACCATGCAATGGGGTTCGTCTGTTCATTGTAAGAAACATGATCTGTTCAGTATCCCGCTAAATATTCTGTTGCATCAATCCTAATGATACATGGCCATAGCAAGTAGGAGTTAAGGACTTCTTGACTTGAAGAACAAAGTGTATTGTGTTCTATGGTAGATCTTGCTATTCACAAAAACCAATGATGTGGCAATCATATGCCCATGTATTAAGCCATGTACCTCGTAATCTAGAATAATGTCTTCTATTACTAAAGGGAAAAAAAGAATTGAAAAAAGATGGTAACTAAGTAGTGCTTGGATTGCTTTTTTGGGGTTATCATTCCTGATGTTATTTTCTTTTGTATTACTTTTAAGGTTTGTCATGTCATTAAATGATCAAATATGTAAGAGTTTTTTCCATATGAAATCCACCTCTCTATCTTTCTACATGAAAACAGTCCATTTATCTTTGTTCTTTGATTATTATTATACAGCAACATATTCACATGGTTTCTCATAGTTGCTCAAGGTGTAGGTTAGATGAAGGTAATAATTTGGAATATTATCTTCTATACTATCGTCTTTTTTGAGGGCCTCTATTTTGTTTTGTGGCGAACCCCTTGATGCTAAATAAGATGGATTGCTTGCATTCTAGCAGTAATTTGGTTCATGGTCTTAGGTTGTCTTTTATTTTCGTATTGAAATTAGTACTAGAAGGTCTTACATCTGGCATGTGTTGTTGACATGTAGTTCAACTTGGACGAGTTCATGTTTAGCATTAATGTACAAGGTCCTTATATTTCTTTTTACGAATGAAATGGTACCCCTAGAAAGTGTCTATGACTTAATCAAGTGATTTGAAATTGATGGTAAAATAAACAATTGAAGCATATCAGTTGCCCTTTTTCTATTCTTTATTTTCTAAAGTGTACTGAAAATCTTTGTCCACAATTTTCGTTCCTAAGGTTATGGATTTTGTTTTGTTGGAACTCTTTGAGACAAGTTTTGTATAGATCCTTGAGACATTTTGTCTTTCACTGCGCTCTATCAATATGTGCAAGACTTTTGAATATGCACAAGGCTTTTGATAATTGCACAGTTCCTACTTATATTTATTGATTTCTAGATGCTCTTTCATGTGCATTGCGATTTACTACTCTGTTTGTATGATACTTTCTTATAGTCTTTTAAATCTAAAGGAAGCATCATGCTCACAAGTTCGGCAAAAACGACATTCATCAGTCAAGATGCAGTGACAACAAACGAATTGATTGGAAAATAATTCAGGATGAAAATGGAATGTAAGCGCTTGGACCACTTTGAATTTGGTTGTTAGATGCCTTTCCCTTTGTTTTATTTTCTAAGCTTGTAATTATTATTATTATTATTATTATTATTATTATTATCATTATTATCATTATCATTATTATCATTATTATCATTATTATTATCATTATTATTATTATTATTATTATTATTATTATTATTATTATTATTATTATTATTATTGAGGATATATTCTTGTAAGTCTTTTCCTTATATCAAATTATCAGCACACAGAACTCCGTTTTTTATCTCACTTGTCTCACAATATTATTGACATGTTATTATTATAGTTATTCCATGACCTGTTCTTGATTTTGATAGACCAGCTACATCACATTTCCTTTTCAGTTGTATTTATCAATAAGGCTTTAAAAATTCCAAAGACTTGACCTTTTACTTCTGATTAGTGACTCAGCTTGGCTTGGTAGGTTCCTGAGCTGAGTCATACAAGATCGATTTGGTTGAATCTATTAATTAACCAATAAATAGAGGATTGACTCAGTTGAGTCTTGTGATATAACAGGACACTTGCCAAGGTGTTGAGGCAATTCACAAGTACTTATTCAAATTGCATATTTGAATAGGATAGCAGATTTTCATTGGTGAATGTAAGTAATGCTAAAGTTATTACAGGTTATTGTTGAAGGGGCTGATTTCTTACTACTTGCATTTTCAATTATGTGTGTTTAAACTATTACATGTTATTGTTGAATGGGCTGGTTTTGTACATGGTTAAATATGAATGCATGAATTGTGATTGTTCCTTGACATGCATCACAAATGCCTTAATATATCAATAAATGTTGTGTACCATTATAATCTGAGAGAGAGAGAGAACACACAAATGTTATGTGCATGACTTGTGAATGATGTATATTTTTGAGTTGTGAATGACGTATATTTTTTAGGTTGGGATATGGATGTATCAGTGGTGAATGTAGGGAGTGTTACAGAAAAATAATATTCTACTTTACTTTCAATTGATATTGTATTCCAAAAAATAATATTCTACAAATTATTAAAAAATAAATAATATCTTGGTCTCAATTTTAACATTTACATCTTGTCTATTACTCAAAGCTAATCCAATAAAGATACTCGGTTCTTCTTTAACTTCCCAAGAGGTTATTAAACACAGAAAACAGGAACTTTTTAAGTTCCCAAGAAGTTATCAAACACAGTAATCACGAACTTCTTAACTTCTCAGGGAAGTTATCAAAAACAGAAACTAGGAACTTTTTCAAGAACTACTAATGCATAGTTCTTCAAAAACTTCTAATTTACAGTTCATGAACTTGCTTCTAGTTATCAAACAGACCTTTTAGTGTACTTGAGCTTGATTGTTTCTTCTTGTAGATTTGAAGGTGGTTTTTCACCGGTCCATAAATAGTTCGATGAACTTCTTTCTTAGAGGTTGTTCTCTCTCTTTGCTCTCCTCACGTTTCTTTATCTCTTTGTTCTCACATTTCTTTATTTTTGACTCTTGTATTCTCTCTCCCCTATGGCAATGGTTCATTTCCTCTCAAAGCATTTGCCCCACTTCTTTCTAAATATATACTCTCGCTCTACCTCTCTCTTGTTCTTTAATTTTTATGGAAACGTTTGGGCTTCTCTCTCTTGTTCCTCGTAGGAACGCTTGGGCTTCCGACAATGTCTGTCTTCCTCTCTCTTGTTCGTTATGGCAATGCTTCGCCTTCCTCAAAACCCGGTCTCTTTGTCGAAAGCATCGACAGATAGTAGATATTCATCCCGACCCTATATACGAGGCTTAAAACCAAACCTTAATTTTCTTTCTTCCTGACCTCTGTCCAAGGCTGCGTATACATTTCTTGCGCGGCTTCCAAACAGTGCGGTAATTTACATAGAATAGACTTATAGTACAATACAGTCCATTATGTAATAATAAAATAAAATATATAATATAATGGCCTCACGTAAGGAGGTTATAACAAAGATATTATATATTAAAAATATTATAGTATAGTATGAGATAGTATGCATAACCTAATAATATATAGTATAATATATTATATAACAAAGTATAAATAAAGAATAAAATATATAATAATGTTATATATTATATAGAAATTATATTAAAGAAAAAGACAATAATAATTATAAATCATGAACTAGTTTGTCACCAAAAACAAAAAAACAAAAAGCACAACATACTCCTTTCCCTTAGGTAAAAATCAAACTCAAGTATTTTTTAGGACTCAATTTTAGGGATAACAAATGATACTAGAATTTATATTTTTTTTTATAAAATATCTTATTAATCTCATATTTATTTGGAACGAAACTCTATTTTACAATGTTTATTTTGATAAATGAAATTTTATAATAAAAATATTTATAGAAGTTTAAAATATATTGAGAATAATATCAATTGCCAAGTAATATTATAAATCAACAGAAAAAAATTAATTTAAATTGTAGTATCTCCAAAATGGGTATTATAATATCTGCGAGAGCAAGTGTTCTGTAAGAACATTACAATTTTTTTCTTTTTTAGAGTTAGAGATAAGTAAGTAACAAGATATTATAGTTTAAATATATTGTATATTCTTATATTATATTACATTAAAGAACAATAAAAATAATAATCAATTCAGAACTAATCTGTACAAATTTTTAAATGTACACTCTTTTCATTCTAAAGCATAATCACAAAAAAGAAAATTTAGAAAAAATTCCCTAGAAAGTGTTTTTCTTGCCCAATTAATATAAGCCTTCCATTTTCATGAGATGGTTAGATATAGGCCTCAGAAGGATTTTTTCTATTCCCAAAATTTTTATATAGCGTTATCATTATTAGAATAACAATGCTAACAAAAGAAGAGGTGTGTTTGAATTCGTTAAAGCCTAGATCTTGAAATTCACCAAATAGACGGTTAAGATTCATTGTTGGAGGGTACTAATTTTGACTATATCTAGGGTGCAAATTGAATTTTTTTTTTCGTATGATTGATTATATGGTTGAAGAGAATTTGTGTGGAAAATTTGGGGTCATACAAATGCCAAAAACATAGTTTTCTTGAGGGGTGGTTGTATTATACTACTATTCAACTGTTACATGAAATCATTCCCTTATCGTATATATCATATTATATACAATATTCTATTAAGAGTATACTTTGTATTACAATATGTAATCAACAATATATTTAGAAGGAAAATTTTTATATAAGGTGGCAACCTTAAAGTAAGAACTAAGGTGCACCTCAAAAATCATCATAAAAGATTGTCTTGTTGTTTGTAAACTCCCTAATTAATAATATTGACATTTATATGTATGAATATAAAAAAAGATAAAGATTTCAAGTCACAAAAATAGTGCATCTTACCACACATTATCTAGACTGTCCATTTTCAAGATTTCCATGTGTTTATTGAACTACTTGATTTGAACCACTTTTGGGGTTAAAAAATTCGTAGTTAGATATGAAAATGGATTATAAGGCCATCTTAATTTTTTTATTGCAATATCACATCTTATAATAAAATTTGGAGCTCCACCTTTGTTGGATTTTTTAATGGCTCAATCTTATACAAACTACATGTTAGTCCCAATAATGAAAATTAATAAATAAATAAACAATTTACTCTGATCTGTCCTTAAATCACACGAGGGACTTAAGGTTCCATACCAAAACCTATAGACGAAGCCATCCGGTGACAAGCTGCCTTGAGAGTCCTCTTAGTGAATCTCCTTCACCAATTTTCCATCATTGTCTTCTTATTTTTTTCTTACTTGAGGGGCTAACCTTTTTTATAGAGAATCATATTTTGTAACTCTCACATTCATGGTTTATAGGAGTGAAGATCCAAGTATAACTCCTGCCTTAATTTCCTTAAATGCAACTAATTAGGATTAAGAAGTTGTTACCAAACTGTTAATCCAATGCAACGAGCTAAACTTGTCATTAGTGCACTGACTCTAGTCTCATAGCTGCTATATGTTTCTTGAAAATTTTCGCCTTAAAGCCTTCGTTAATGGATCTACAATCATCTCATTTGAAGCTATATAATCAACTGTTATATCTTCATATTCCACTACATCTTGAAAATGGTGGTACCTCCTGCGAATGTGCTTGAATTTAGAGTTTATTTTTTAATCCTTGAGAACGGCAATGACTGCTTGATTATCACATAACATGTTTATAGGCCCATTTTCAATGCTTTCTAATTTTAAATCCATGAGAAAAGTTTTCAACCAAACAGCCTCTTGTGATCCTAAACTGCAAGCCACATATTCTACTTCCATGGTTAATAAAGCAACACAATCTTATTTTTTAATGCACCATAATACAACACCTCTGCCAAGTATGTCAACAGGGGTGGAGACCGGCTTGCATAAATCGATTTTAAACTTCTTAAGAACAGATTCTAAATAATTATCTTGAGATAAGTGGAGCATCCTTTTTTATCTCTCTCTTGTAATTTCAATTCCTAAAACATAAGATGCAACCCCCATATCTTTCAACATGATTTTGTTTCATTAATCATATATACGTCATTTTTAGTAATCAAAATAGCATTCACATGTAAATACGATATTAAAGACAATATCACTACCTTACTCCCGCTAACTTTAACATAAATACAATGATCACTTTTATTAGAAACAAAACCAAGTTTCGTAATTGCATCATGAAATTTTAAATACCATTGTCTAGAAGATTTCTTCAATCCATATAGTTATGTAATTCGTTTGCGCATTTTATTTTTTTTACCTTCAACAATATATCCTTCAGGATGTAACATGTATATCTCTTCATTTAAATTTTACATCTATTTAAAACAATTCTAAATCAAGGTTAGCCACAATAGACATCAAAATCTAATAGAAGGAAATCTTACTATTAGAGAAAAAGTATCAACAAAATCGATACCTTCCTTTTGGTTATACCTTTTAGTACCAAGTCGTGCTGTATATTTATTTATACGACCATCAGCCTTGAGTTTTCTTTTTAATATCCATTTGCAACCTATGGGTTTTCTCCCACTAGGCAAATCTACCAACTCCCATACATGGTTTTAGATATAGATTCCATTTATTCATTGATAGCATTATTCCAAAAATCAGATTCATCAGAATTAATGGCTTCTTTATAATTGGAAGGTTTAGGAAAATCTTGACAAGCAAAGTTATAGTATTGGTCTAAAGTGTCCATACAAATGAAACTCTGATATGGTTCTAAATGATATAGTGCTCTTCTGTTCCTAGAACTTCTCCTAGGTTCATTGTCATCTATAATAGTAAGTTCCAATGTATTACTCCCACCTCCCACTATCTATGTAGTTATCAAGGTTTCTACAAAGGTTCAATGTTTTCTATGTTTTCATTTACTCCATTGTTATTGTCTAATTCATGTATATCTATAAGAGAAGGTTTGTCTATTTTCATATGTTCTTTTAAGAATGTGCATCTCTAGATTCAACTAAAGATTTGGTCTCATGGCCATAAAACCTATAACCCTTAGAAGTATCAAAGTACCCTATGAATGAGTATTTTCTAGTTTTAGCCTGCAACTTAGAACTCTCATGGCTCGGGATAAGTACATGAGCATCACAACCCCAATTTTTTAAATGTTCCAATCGAGGTTTACACCCAGTCCATAACTCATAAGGTGTTTTCGCTACGGATTTTGAGGGAGCT